ATTTTCATATCATTGGATTGAAGATGAACCAATACAACCATTGAATCAATTCTGTGAAAACGAATTCTCACATGACCAAAATTTTAAGAGCCCTTTTCTCTTTCGAACCTCAGCATCACTGTCAATTGAGTCACTCACTATCATTTGATATACGACAGTGAAGTATGGAAGAAACCCAGCAAAATGGTCCCGAACAGACAAGTCGAAATATAAAGTCGATGTCGGTTGGTGTCGGGTTGGCTTAGCTTTTTCGCCGGAATGTCGACCAGAGCTCCGTTTATGTGTAGGTCAGTGCGCAAAACAGTCTGATTCATATGAATAAGAACTGTCATCTGCCTCATCATTCACTGCCTCGTGAAAGTCTGAATGATTGAGAAGTAAACAAGTCACTGACAGTAGAGCACTCAGTCAGTAGCTCAGTCAGCACGTTTATTCTTCCGTGATGGTACCCAATCCTTGTTTTGAATGACTGAGCGTTCATTTTATATGGAAAAATGCCTCAATTTCATGCTGTGTGAGTTAAGGCAAGCGGTGTGCGTCGCCTGTTCGTGAGAGACTGAATGTTTTTGTTTGCTCCTTCATTGCCTCGTCCTTTACCGTTTGGTACAAACGGTCTAGACAGAGCAATGAATTGAATAGTACAGTGTTTTCAAACTCAGCTTAAACAGTCAATAGGGTAACTGATGATGGTTGGACCTATTTAGACCGGTTTCACACGACGTCAACATTCATGTCGTATTTTTTTTTATGAATTCAACATATAATTATGAAAAATGCCTGATTAGGTGAAAAATCTACCTTTCTTGTTTCTAATAATAACATAAAAAGTTAAATATTATGAACAAATGATTATATAATACGTTTTTATTCAGCAAATAATTATGATGTTGGTTGGACCTACACTGATCTTGGTTGGACCTAAAAAGTGATGATGGTTGGACCTATTTTTGCAAATGCTAGTTTAGCCCATATTTGTTCAAAAACTTTGTTTAGAGGTTATTGGCATCATAAAAAAACCCTTTTTATACAGTTTTTATGAATTTGCTATTTAGAAAAAAAATCAAGAAATTTGCGCCCAACTAGTGACGCAAGGTCTTTAGCAGCTTCCAAGATCTTTTTGGTCGTCTTGGGACTGTCAGAAGCAGCGCACATACAAACCCAATCCGCTAGCTGGTTCTCCAAATCAACACTCAACACTATTTCCCTTTCATATTTCTTGCCGTGGCTTCCCTTGATTTTTGCGTGAAGTGTCGTTTTCGGAATATTGTACCTTTTCTGTTCCTGATACGCGGTAAGTGATTTTAAAAAAGTTCACTTTTCACGCATGAGCTATTCATCATGGCTCATTTTCTCGGAAATCATTGACCCGATTTGGAAAATTTTTAACGTCAAACTATAGGTATTGTGATCTTATTGAAAGCTGTCGAATTATTTTGGAACCGGTCAATTGGTTCCGGAGATATGGCCGGAACAAGTTCCAGGGTATATGGAACATAGACCTAATTTTGACATGGAAGGAATAAAACCTATCATGCGACACTTCACATTGCTTCCAAATTCGATAACAAGATCAATAACAAAATTGAGTGCCTTGGACCACATTGGCCACTTCCGGGCATGTTCTGGGTGCCCCGGGGAATGTAGAGGCTTAAAATGACAGAATATCAGAACTTCATTCCGGTTTTATAGTTCTTTTTCTCCTAGGAGTTTTTTATTCGGAAATAAATTTCAGTTAGCAATTTTTAGTTTGTTAACATTTTATTTCAAGTTAACTCACACACAGAAGGTGTATGAGAAGTAATTAAAGTAAATTCATATTAACAGATTCTTTCGGCGCTTTCGTGGTAGTTCGGAAATCGGTGGTTATCCTTTCAGCTATCCGGACGATGGAATTCCTCCTTTAAATTTACGCCCAACTAGTGACGCAAGGTCTTTAGCAGCTTCCAAGATCTTTTTGGTCGTCTTGGGACTGTCAGAAGCAGCGCACATACAAACCCAATCCGCTAGCTGGTTCTCCAAATCAACACTCAACACTATTTCCCTTCCATATTTCTTGCCGTGGCTTCCCTTGATTTTTGCGTGAAGTGTCGTTTTCGGAATATTGTACCTTTTCTGTTCCTGATACGCGGTAAGTGATTTATTTCTTACTAAAAGAACAGCCTCTTGAAGATTTTCGACCGTATAACTCTTTTCTTTAGCCATTTTTATCAATCGAAGAAACTAATCACTCGGCCAAAACGAAATCGAATTTCAAATCAGCTGCGCATGAAGGTTGTAAACAAACCGAAGCGCACCTAGCGACCGTCTTAGGAAACACATAGGTCCAACCATCATCATGCGTAGGTCCAACCATGATCATATTTATCTATTCGAATTTCGTTAATAATTAAAACATTTTAGTGAAACCAATGGATAAATGGCGTACTAACGTGTTATTTACACCTTAAAGCAGTATTTTACTGCATGAAAATAAAAATAAATATAAAAAACATTCCTTTTTTGTATGTTTGAAAGTAAGGCATGATGACGAGCTAATGCGTGGAAAGTGAACTGTTTTAAAAACACATTGAAACTCAATTGTTTTGAAGTTTTTTCTATAAAACCCCCATGCAAATTGAAGAAAAAGAGTTTTTTTTATGATAGTAAAGTGATCTTTGAAAAAAAAAATTAGCGAAGATTGACTAAACTAGCGATTGAAAAAATAGGTCCAACCATCATCAGTTTTTGGATAGGTCCAACCAGAATCAATTACCCTAATTTTACGCTCTGGTGTAGGTTACACTCAATTGAATGATATCAAGCGTTTCTCAAATGAGAATGATCCATGTCTTCGTCAAATGACTAAGCAACTGATATCACCCATTCGAATGAGGTCCCCTTTGATGGCGGATAGCTGCTTTTCTCATTTTCATCAAAAATGTTCAATTGATTTTGAGAATTTACAGCACTGCTTGGAACATCCCTAAAAATAATGAAATTACTCAAAAGTTTCATCTGATGTTCTTGGATTTCCCAGATCCCGGAACTGAAAAGACCAACCAGCCTAAGGCTGACAGTTTTGCTAATAAAGAAACTAATAATATCGGAACTTTGCTGAAGATGTCGGAAATTTTCCTGAAATTCATTGTCTGCAATTTATCGAAACTAATCTTTACAAATCTATAAATTTTCCCAAAACTAGACTCCTTACTTTAGTTGTTTTAGTAACGTTAAAATGGCCCTTATATTTAAAAAAAAAATGCAATTATGAACGACAAAGTCAAGTACAACTGCAATCAAAATACAGGTCTAAAACTAATCTTGGAATGATTAAATAAGCCATTGTTCAGAATCATCAAAATATTTATGGCAGTTTATGGGAAGATGAATTCTGCGAAGAGATTTATTTAAGTATAAGAAAATGTAAATGCTTTCTATCAATTTGTTTGAAAATGTCAGCAACTTTTCATTGAATTTAAATAGAAGCCATTTTTAAATAAAAAAAAGAAAATTTATATTTCAAATATAGCTCATCCACAGACATAACTCTTAGAAGAAAATTCTTCAAAAATATCGTCCAGCGTATTTTGCATGCGCACTAGCACCATCTATCATCCACATTCCCAAGCAATGTTTTGCAACCGGAGCATCCCGCGTGCATGCAATTTTTTCACTAGTTGTTTTTCTCTCGTTCTGTCAACGCGTCAGCTGTGTTGAATAAAAACTAAACAGATGGAAGTCAGTGATGTCGGTTCTACGAAATTTTCCAAACATCTATAGAATTGATTGAATTCTGCAGTAATACGATCCGTAGGAAAAATTCTCAGAAAAAAGACTTTTTTTTAGGGATTTGTTTTGTTTGCTTAGTGTGCTTTTTTATTTTGCTGGAAAAAAGTTTTTAAACAAGGTAATGCATCAATTATTAGTGCCCTTTCTACCACCGCTCATCACTTCAATGTGTACACAGAAAAAAATATGTATCAATCAATGATATTCATGGTGAAGTATTGAACATCAATAACTGGTAAAAATTGATAGAATATTACAGTCATCAACATGATTTGTTCTCGAATTCTGTGTACATCTAACAACGTAATATTAGGAACGGAATAACTAATGTGCAGCAGTTTTGATGTAATATTCAACAACTTTTTTTTCTGTATTCGTCAGATGTGGTATGTGTCTCCAGTGGGACCACTTGACCACTTATCATTTTCAAGAGCTGACATGTACTAACTAGACGTGAAAAAGAACTGGCATCACTGATAAGTTCAAAATGTGGAGGCTTGCTCAATGCTTCAGTGGCGCCACCATGACAAACGCAAGCACATTATGTCTGTTTGTCTGTGGCTCGACTTTGATTATCAGAATCAAGATTTAAAATTCAGATAAATTTTACATAATCTTAGGAAAACTTATGATCAAGCTTGAACACCTACGACCGATCTAAGGACAGGCTGAAAGTATCTTTAATAAATAAATCTAATCTAATCCAAGGACAGCAGAACTGCACGCAAATCATAGTCAACAGTATGTGACAGGAAATATTTCTCCCAATTTCGAAATGATCCCGATCGTTGACTGCACTATTGTAATAAAGTGCCGTTATATGCCCTCTCTTCCATATCTGAGCTAAATTCACAACACTTTACTTTGCTGGTGTGACTGTCCCTCTTGTCTTGCCCAACAAACTTCGTCCACAGCGCGCGCCAACAACAATCCAGCGTAGAAACAAACAAAACGCAGTGAAATGGAACCAGAATGTGCTCTCTCCGCGTATTGATTTGCTGTAAAACAGGTTCCCCGTCTAGCGGACCACTTTCTATCCCTAATTTGTTTAACAGGTCATCTGGCGACGAGAGGGGATTGATGGATCATCTTACCGATTTCTTCTTTTCCTCCCTTTGTCACCTCGTTCTACAGCACATTCGTTCGTTCGCTGATTTCCGAACAATCCGAACACCTAGTCGCAATCATACCGATCACGGGATAAGTCACTATTACAGAGTTCTCCGTTCGAGATGGCACGTCTCATAGTTTTATCTTTACTGCTAAGTGCTTGTGTGACTGTGCGGGCCGATCTAGGATTAAGCCTAACTATTCCAGGACTTGCGAGTGGTGTTTCCGAAGCAATCAATCAGGGAGTGATCAATCTCGTCAAAGCGAATGGTACGCTACTTCGAATGAATCCCGACATGGATAGATCCGGTGCACTTCCGGATCTGATTCAGGTGGTCAACTACGTTACCAGCCCGCTGAACAAACTGTTGGGAGCAACGATGGCTGGCAGCACGAGTAAAAATTCCAACAGTCAGGAGTTTTTTGCAGCCCTGTCCAGTCATACCGCTGATACAAAAGTAGCAATTGCAAATGCTCTGATTGCAGCGGATAAATTGCAGGGAACTGTGAGACCAGCGCAATACGACGAAATTCGAGGAAACGTATCGCTCATTGAATCGAACCTTCCACAACTGCAGGAAACATTCACCGTTTTGAGTACCACGGTTGCAGTGGTAAAAAGTTCAAAAGAACCGGTTACATCGGAGAATGTGACGATTTTCTTCACAAGACCTATCATTGACGGATTGATCTACCCGTTGCAAAACATCACCCGAGGTGTCAACGGCTTGGCAACCGTTGTATTAGCAGTCGTGAAGGACAAAATGACTTCTATGAATGCCATCGCTTCCATCAATGGAACAATAAACAGTGGATCGAGAAGTCTTGCAATGGTAACTATGAATTTCAACAGGTCAGTTAACGAAGCGGGAAACTTTGTCGTCAATAATGCAAATGGTCTCTACGGAAGTATCAACCAAATGTACTCGAGTATAGTGAACCGACCGCAGAACTTCAACGGGGGCGATATCAGCAAAGTATCCAGATACCTCTCGGAAGTGAAGACCAACGTTGACCGGTTCAGCAAGGATATGGGTGATACGTTTGGCTATCTGCGGGATAATGTAACCAGCATATTGAACAGCCAGGTTGATAAGATGTCCCAAATTCTTCTGGCAACGGCAACGAACATTTCGAACATTGGTTATACCAGCAACAGTGAAAATGCCGACCGCTGTGTTACGAAGTACACGAACCAACTGACCCAGAATCCGGTTCAGGTAAACCGGCTGACCGCGTGTCTACAACCGGAGATCAACGGATTCAACGGATTCACTGGAATTTACCAGCTCTATCGAATGCTGATGGATCAAACAAAAACGTTGGGTGGATCCGTTTCGTCAAATGTTCTGGGGCGACAGTGTACTCAGGGAATGAGCGATTGTGTGGTCACGGTGAGTAGAAGGTTTTGGGTACTTACTTTGCCGATGGGTTAGAAGTTCGTGAGTTCATTACCTGGAAAGGAAGGAAGGGACAATTGTCAGTTGAATGTGATTTCTTCAGGGAAAATACAGCTTAAAGGGTAAAATGCGTTTTATTTAGAAGAAATATCTTGTAACATTTTTTAGTTTTTCTGGTGATAAATTTTCGGGTTCGTTAAGATACATATTAGATAAAGGATTTTGACTGTATTTACTTTTTTATATAGAAAATAGTATATTGGGAATGCTGAAAACACCCGAAAAAACACAACCTGAAAATTCCAGATGAAGTTTAATAAGCTGGAAAATTCGGATATAGGATAAATTCACAGACTGTAGTGATTAACAAGCCTTAGGCTAAAAATCACTGTAATAAAGTTAAAAAAAAATGTTTTTGTTTTTTTCCGTTGGGGAATTTCTAATCTTCCAGGGCATTTCCAAATCATTAGCAAGCCAATTTACGTGTTCAGAAAATTTCTAGTGCAACTCCACAGAACATGTATCGAGATCTGCATAGCATTTTGAGTTAAAATTTCATAAGACTTTCCGGGTGCATTGAGATGACTGATGGATAATGTCCATATAGTAAGGGAACTTCCTCAGAATACATATTGACCCATTATGCGTCTAGAAGACTATCCTGATATTGACATTCTTTCGTTCCAGTACTTTGACTACTTGCACAGCCTCTCCCAGCAGGTCGACGATAAACTGAACATCAACGTCCAGGTCGTGGCTCGCGAAACGATGACTATACAGAATCGAATCAGTGCATGTATAATGGCGATCACTGCCGACATAGTGGACAATGCCCGTATGGTTCAGGTCAAATCCGACAACTGTTTGTCTACTGGAACGAGAGGTAATTACTAGACGGTCTTTTTGAGTTGAACAAGAAATAAAATTATTCCAACGTCGGTATAAGCGACCCAAAAATAACTTCAGCAGTTTTATGCTCTCCGTATATCCGAAACACTTTGTTATGCTAAAAATAAAATAGGTACGGATTCTGATTTCCGTTGGAAACTCTTCTCAAGATTCACAATCTGATATTCACTTCTGAAACTATAAACTAGTCAAGGTCGGGTAGCCACCTCGCTTCCTCCTTGCCTACCCTTGCTTGCAAAAAAGTGCTTATTTGATTCGTACTGCCATTCAAATAGCCCTCACTAAATTTCAACTTCTACTCAAATTTCCCTGCTAACGAACTCTATCAATTCTGTCCTTTTCATAACATGCTCATACATCTCGCCTTAAGTCTCATGTTGATATTACCTAAGTAACATTTTCTGTTTTATGAAGTACTAAAGGGTGATACGGTCAAAATTTGGTCAATATCAACTTGACGTATTTCTTTCAATTTTGTATTTAAAAAACCTGAACACCCCTCATTTTGAAGGTGTGTGTGTGTAGAATGTTGCTCCTATTTTGATTTTGGAATTCACTCTTCAGTTGTCAAAATGCCGTCCAAGCAAGAAGAGCAGCGTATCAAAATTTTGCTCGCGCATCGCGAAAATCCGAGCTACTCGCACGCAAAGTTGGCAAAATCGCTAAAAGTTGCCAAATCAACCGTTACAAATGTAATTAAAGTGTTTGGGGAACGTTTGTCGACAGCCAGGAAGTCTGGATCGGGGGGAAATCGAAAACCGGAAGCCGCTGAGACGACAAAGAGAGTTGCCGGTAGTTTCAAGCGAAACCCTAACCTCTCTCTCCGAGATGCCGCAAATAAGCTGGGTGTATCGTCTACAACCGTGCATCGAGCCAAAAAACGAGCCGGACTATCGACTTACAAGAAGGTAGTGACTCCAAATCGCGATGATAAACAAAATACGACGGCCAAAGCGCGATCCCGGAGGCTGTACACGACGATGCTGACGAAGTTTGACTGCGTGGTAATGGACGACGAAACCTACGTCAAAGCCGACTACAAGCAGCTTCCGGGACAGGAGTTTTATACGGCAAAAGGAAGGGGAAAGGTAGCAAATGTTTTCAAGCACATGAAACTGTCAAAGTTCGCAAAGAAATATCTGGTTTGGCAAGCCATCTGTACCTGTGGCTTGAAAAGCAGCATTTTCATAGCTTCCGGGACTGTCAACCAAGAAATTTACGTGGAAGAGTGTTTGAATAAACGTCTGCTGCCTTTCCTGAAGAAACACGGTTGTTCCGTACTGTTTTGGCCGGATTTGGCATCTTGCCATTACGGTAAAAAGACCATGGAATGGTACGCCGCCAACAACGTGCAGGTGGTTCCCTAGGACAAGAACCCTCCCAACACGCCAGAGCTCCGCCCAATTGAGAAATACTGGGCTATTGTCAAGCGGAACCTAAAGAAGACCAAAAAAACTGCTAAGGGCGAGCAGCAGTTCAAGGCAAACTGGCTTTCTGCGGCGAAGAAGGTGGACAAGGTGGCTGTACAAAATCTGATGGCAGGGGTCAAGCGTAAGGCCCGGCAATTCGGATTTGGAAAAGCGGAAGCCTAACTGAATATTTTTCCTGAATTTTATACTAATTGAACTTGAAAAAGAAATTTAATTTGATTTTTTAAATAAACGGTTTCACCGATTTACACGCGTTTTCCCTTGACCAAATTTTGACCGTATCACCCTTTACAAGGCTACTTTAAAACAACATTTATAAAACCCTGGTCCAGACAATTTTGCCTTGATTACATCCACCAAACCTTCATTAAGATTAGAATCTATCTAGATGGCCCACACTGGAGAAGGATTTGAAGGGCAAATTTTCGAGGCACTTCAAAATTGATTTGCTGCAAAAAGGTTATATTTACGACGAAAACATTGAGAACCATTTGAAATCCTGATTAAAACTACAATAAAAGACATTTGGCATCAACACACTAAAAATTATGTATCAATCAAGATGAAAAGGGATACATAAATGTCATCCGATCTTGCCAAATTAATTATTCTAAAATGAATCGGTCACAAATCCTCATAACTTTCCCCATCATTAAAGTGAATGAATTACCAAATCAATCAGATTTCACATTGTGGTTTATTTTTAGGTAACAAATTCAATCTAATGTGAAATGTGCTTCGGAAGATCGAAAAAAATAAGTCCGATTGAGGACTTTTACTACTACTGTTGATTTTACTATTTTTTTTTTATTTCAGAAACAATTTATATTAATCATTGCGCCCAGCTGAGATAATTTTATGATTTTCGTAATCTATATTACTGCTCATTGATGGATTGATGAGAACAAATTTATTTTCAAGGAAAAATATCTTGAAAACGGTAGGTCGTAAAAATCAAATGGAGTAATTACAATATGGCGGTACATTAATTTTCTATAACACATTTGAGAAAAGCTGTTTTGCTTTCATGAAATCGCTAACGAATGCAAATCGTTTAAATCCGGCTTTTATGACGATAATTTTTAGACTAAATTGATTTTATCTAACGCCATTTTGCTTGATACTATTCTATTTAGTTTTATGACGGCATTAAAGGTGGCAAAGTTGCCTGGAAAAGTTAAACTTCACAATTTCAGTGTCAAAATTTCAAAGGGGCGTAATTGCTTTTGTAAACAATGGCTTTAGCCGTCAATTTCTCGCGAATGAAATCTCACCCCTGAAAAATTACAAAGCTAGCTGGTAGAGGAAACATTCCTCTACCTGTTGGTGTCATTATTTTTCATGAGTGAGCATTTATTCGCGAGAAATCGATGGAAAATATTAGAAATACCGCCAAAGCGTTTTCAAAACATCCTTAAGTCATTTTCAACAAATGGTCTTTGGACAACCATAATGATATATGCTTAGGTTAACAGAAATAATGATTTCCCGATACATAAATAAGGTGGTATAAAAAAAGTGGAAGGGTCTGTGCCTAGGGGCACGAACGGAAGCTTGACGTAGGACCGCTAGTGGACGGAATAAATGTGAACATTTAGTTCTTTTAATTGATCAATCATCAATTATCTTAACTCTTTCCGTTTTTTATTTGTAAACGTATCAAATTTGTAGTATTTATTTCAAAGAGAAAGTTGATGAAAAGAATCCAAGGGACTGTCAACTTGAGTATTTTCGATTCATGTACCGGGCTTTAAAAGGTGTATTTTGAATTTTTTGTTATTTATGATTTTTAAAGTTTTGTGCATTTTGGTATTAAAGTGTATTCAATTCACTCCTCACAGGATTTCCTGCCGAATTATATGAATGGGGCGGGGCGGAAAGTATCGTTTGTGCAGAATATGTAAAAAAGGAGGGACTTCGAGAGATTGAATTCGTGAGAGCTAATTTTCTCACAAATTTGATTTTATTGGCTTTCTGGGGACTTGGGGACCCAAAGCGAATTATTCCCACTTCTCTCAAATTCTATTGGATTTTTTAACACTTCCTACCAGCGTGTTCTGGAAAATGGTCGGACGACGATTAATCGCACCAATACATTCGGGCCTACAATTCCATACCTTATATAGAGACCAGGTTGAGCCTTGATAGCTAGCTGCTTGCGGGAACTGATGACCTTGACAAATGTCCACATAATACTCTTAACAAATTTATGGTGGTCCAGAAAAGGACCGTTTTGTAGTGATGGTTGAATAATGCTGAGCTGAGCACGACGAGCTACTGATTCCGATTCTAGCCTACCAGTGGGACTTCTTCCTCCTTCTCTATGGTTGCTCATATGAGCTATGCAGCTCGCTGCTGGCAGGCAGCCTTTCGTTGTTGTTGTTGTTATTGTTGAAAGCACTCCTGCTGCTGCTACTGCTGAACTGGACACCACCACTTACGGTGATTGAATGAGCACCGTTCAGTGGTACCACATCGAATTCGATTTTAAGTCTGTGTTAGGGAATGCGCTGTTTTCAGACATTCGGTGATAATTTTGATCACCATTGCAACAGTTGGACATTTGATATTTTTCAATAGTGACTTATTGAAAATTAACTAAGTGTTCATTTTAGCAGATTGGTAGATAAATTTCCAATCGTTTGGCTTGTTTAGAATTAAAATCTATCTGCTATTGGTCGAAACCTGACCTCTTTTCGTAATGTAATAATGTAATTTTCGTAATAATCTAGCCCTGATGTAGGGGAAATGTATGTGATGTCGGCCTAAGTGTCCCTAATTTGGGCCCATACATAAATTCAGCAATCGACTAAATTTTCAATAGCAACCAAAAATATCCATTCGTACCGTCCCAATGACACGTTCATCTAGATACAATTGATAAATAGCAGATTTTTAGAGATGGGTCCAATCTTAGATCCATAGGCCAACATTAGAGCCATTTCTCCTATGTGTGGGTAGAGGGAAAAATGTAAACTTTGCGGAAAACGATGTCTTAACACTCGAAAGAAATTTTGTGAAATATGAAGTAAAACAAATCCTAGCTAGTTCTGCATCATGATTTTGTTTGATTTTATTTATTTGTAAAGTCGCCGGGAAATACCAGCTGGCGATTTTTTTTTTATGATATCAGGCAAAAACTCACAAACAGGCTGCTTTTTCGTATACCATGAAAAATAGTTACTATAATAGTAAATAGTTAAAAATAATAGTGAAGTGTGATAATTCAATAATCAATGAATTATCTCAACATTAAGTGGCAAACAATTCATAAATTTTGCTACCATACAAAAAATTCTATAATCCACATTAAATTTCATATGTAAGCGCCGATTGAAACAATCTTTTCGACGTTACTACAAGGGTGATGATTAAACGAAAGAAACGAATCGTGCGGAATGAAAGCCGAGGAAAAACTAATTGCACCAATATATCCAGGCCTATAATTCCACACCTTCTATAGACAGGTTGAGCCTTGATAGCTAGCTGCTTGCGAGAACTGATTACCTTGACCAATGTCCAAATAATACTCTTTAACAAATTT